GAAGTTTTCACCAAGCGTTGGCCAAAGTGGTAGAAGCATCTTATGAACTGTCATTGCTCATCACTAAAGACAAGAAAGCGCACATAATCGGAGAAACTCTTGTGAAGCCTTGCTTGTTGAAAGCAGCTGATAGTGTGCTTGATGTCGAAAGCAAGAAAAAACTATCGGAAATTTCACTTTCTGACAATTCTGTGAAACATCTCATCGATGAGCTGGCGAAAGATCTTAAACTTCAAGTTGTGGAGGCAGTGTTGGCATCTCCTTTTTTCGCAATTCAGTGTGATGATACCACTGATGTAGCACAATGCTGTCAGTTGCTTATCTGCGTTCAATTAATTAACAATGGAAATGTGAAAGAAGAACTGCTTTTTTCGAAGGAATTGATGACCACATTAAAGGCTCCTGATATTATGAAAACGATTTCCAACTTTTTAAAAGAAAATAGACTTTCCTGGGGAAAACTGATTGGTGTATGCATAAATGGTGCTCCAGCAATGCTTGGCTCTCGCTCTAGACTTGTGACGTTGGTGAAAGAAAAAAATCCAGCCGTAATCACAGCTCACTGCATCATACACACACAAGCGTTGGCTGCTAAAACCCTTCCAGATGACCTATGTGACTCATTGAATTTGGCCATCAAAATTGTCAATTTTGTGAAGAACAGTGCTTTAAATACAAGACTTTTTGATGCTCTTTGCACAGATTTGGGAGCAGATCATAAAACTCTTTTGTTTCACATGCAGATACAATGGCTTTCCAAAGGTAACCTGCTTTTGAGATCATTCGAACTGAAAGATGAAGTGGAAATTCTCCTCAATCAACAGAAGAAGAGTTATATCATGCATTTATGGACCAAACGTTTCAGCTTTCACTGGCATGTCTCATGGACATTTTTTAATCTTTGAACAACCTCAATTTGAAGCTTCAAGGAAACAACGCTGCAAACATTATAGCGCACCACAATGCCATCAAAGTATTTATGGAAAAAATCCAGCTTTGGAAACATCAAACACAAGCTCAGATGCCTAACTTTTTGTCTTTTCTGACATTTTCATCACTCACTGAAAATTAAGGTTTCCAAGAAGTTTGTAAAGAGGATGTGAAGAACAAAACTGTGTTTCATCTGGACTGCCTTGCTGCTGAATTCATCCGCTATTTTCCGGACAACTTTTCTGGCAACCCCATTAATAAATTAGTACGAAATCCATTCAACGTTGATGTCGATTCATTGCCAGAAGTATTGCAAGAACAAGCACTTGAAATAAAATATGGTTCAAGTGCAAAAGATAATTTAGAAAACACAAGCTTCGAGGAATTTTGGATAAAATATTTCCCAATGTACTCGAAGGTTGAAGAAGTGCTACATATTATTCTTCCATTTTCGTCAACGTACCTCTGTGAAAAAAAGCTTTTAAAGTTAAGTCACATTAAAAGCAAAACAAAGAAATCGACCGGATGTCGAAAATGATTTGTGTTGCACACTTTTATCATTCAAATCTAGGATTTCCCAACTCGTGAAGAGAATGCAGCATCGTCCTTCACATTAAATTTGATCTGTTTCTGCTATTTCTTATGTTAAATTACATTTGTATTAAATTTTTGTGCCAAGAAAAACTATTTGTGCATATTTTGTATTTTAAATAATTTTGATACCAAATTTTTGTATTTATTTTTAATGTTAAATTACAAATTGAATATTTTGTTTAAAGGGGGGTTGGATGATGGTAAAGAAAAGGTAGGGAGGCGTGAGGGTTTCTCAAAAATCAAAATGGGGGCATGATGCCGAAAAGTTTGAACCACTGTTCTAGAGTCTGGGGATATGTCACACAATTTTTATTTTAGGAGAAGGATGCAACTAGCGTTGCGCATTTGCGTACTTCCTCCAGGTTTTTTTCTGGATGACACTCTTCCGGTATTTACTCACATCTCCATGTGGCCGAATTTTGAAATAAACCCCTATTTCAAAAGACCCATGTAAACCTCATTATAGGAGGAATAAGGGGTCTTTTGAAATAGGGGTTTATTTCAAAATTTGGTCGTGTGTAGATGTGGGTAAATACCGGAAGAGCCTCTTTCGGAAAAAAAATGGAGGAAGTATGCAAATGTGCAGCTCAATTTGCATCCTTCTCCCAAAATAAAAATTGTGTGTAGACATACCCTCAGATTCTTGAAACATCACACCCTGACCCAAAGCAGAACCCTAATGATGAGCCCATGTGAGAAGTTTCTTCTGATAACTTTGGACCCAGATTGTTACAGGGGTGGAATAAAAAATAATCCAATTAGGTTTGGGGAATTCAGAGACCCCCCCCCCAAAAAAAACCCTGGGATCTTATGAACAGCATCCTGTGATGCAAATAGCAGATGCACTAGTGGGGTTAAAATTTGCCTTACTGGGAGAAAGAAAAAAGCTGGGACAAATGTACCACTGCATTTTCATTCTAGGAATAAAAAGTGGATGACTCCTTAGAAAAGAATGAGAGAACAAGGGGGGCTAATCTAGTAGCAAGAAGTTCATAGTTGTAGTATTTTCTACTGCTGCAAACCACCTGACCTGTGACCAGAGGCAGAGGAAAGTATATGTTTTGAAATGAGTGTGTCAGAGTGATTCAAACAGAGATTAAAGTAGTTGCCAGTCTCTTGTTGGAGCTGGTATTTCTCTGTCTTGGGCCAAATCGACACTGCAAGGTTTTTGCACGAAAACAACAATGTCCACAGCTCAAATGCACTTTTGCGCAAGGAATTCAAGAGTAAAACGGCAGAACAGAGGGCTTCTTCTGCCATAGGTAAACCTCTTTTTATGAGAACAAGAGTTCTTGCAAAAGGCTAGTGTGGACGCTCCAGAGGGAAAAAGCACAAGTGCTCTGATGGCCATTCGTGAATGGCTATCAGACCGTCCTTGCGCAAGAACGTCCATGCAGTGTAGATGTGTGGACGTGCTCTTGTGGAAGAAGATTTTGCACAAAAACTCTTGTACAAAAGGCTTCTTGTGCAATAAGCATGTAGTGTAGACGTAGCCTTCAAGAGTAGGCTGTTACTCCACATGGCAAACTGAGTTTCCCTTGCTGGGAGTTTATAAGTCTGGTGGCCTTGCTAACTGTGGCTCTCAGTTATATACCTGGAACATATTGGCCTCAGTGGGTGCAAATAGAACTCTGCCCTGTGTGCCCCAGTGACAGATACCTTGGCTCACTAATAATTGTGTTTACTGGAGTGTGCCCATGGGACTGTCCCTAGAGGGGCATGGGGCCCTGGGCAACACACCTGCCCCCAAGTCCTGCCTTTTCCCTGCCTTGTCCTGCCCCTACTCCATCTCCTACCCCCATTACCCTCTCTCAGCCTTACTATACCCTTTCCCCAAAACGATATAAGCCAGGGAATTACCTGGGGGACCTGGTGTAGGATGGCAACAGGGGTTGCCTCTTGGCATTAATCCAGTAGTCTGCACCATCCTAGTGCTCATTCCTCCAGCTGGGTTGCTCTGCTTCACAGCAGTGGCAGGAAGTGGAGCTCCCTGGCCTTAGCCTGTTTCCCTGATTCCTATATCACTAGAACAGAGAGGGCTAGGGCCAGGTACACCATTTCCCACTGCCACAGTGAAGCGGAGTGCAGAAGGCTGGGAGATGGTGGCAGAGCAGAGCAGACTGCTGGGTCGCTTCACTTCTCACCACTTGCCATGGTGAATGAGGGGGATCCTGACCCCTGTTGCTGCCATGCACCAGGCCCCCTAGTAATCCTTCTGGCCTCCCTGGGCCCTGCTGCTGCAGCTAAGATGGAGGACCATCCCATGATCCATGTCATGGTTGAGGCAGCCATCTTACAGCCCCCCACTCAAAGCACAGGGTAGTTACCCCGATCTGTCCTATGGATGGGATAGCTCTGCATGTGTCCATACTATGTTAAGTGACTCTTAAATTGACATTGTGGGGGTTCCATATGTATTGTCCTTCATTAATATCAAATCATCAGTTTACAAGTTCAAAAGGTGGATTTTTTCTAGCTACTAATTTCTCAAATTAAAACTGAGATCAAGGGTCAAGTTGTGTTAATTTGGTAGCATCTGAAAAGCGGAACTTAGCTAATGATGCTGTAGGTTGTGCATAATCCTGAAGACAGTCTAACTCAAATTCCTGTTGTATTTGGGTAGATCTATAGCAATAAATGGAGTTGAAAGATTTACAGGGCCAGATCTGTAGAGTAAAAATGATGCTCTTTAGGTAGTCAATTTTCAGAGCACAATCATGCTGTAGTAGTGTAGTATTTGCAAGAACGGTAAACTGGTATTACATAGCCAACAGTGACACCCAATGGTGCAAGTAGGTACTCTGCACTTCTCAGCTACTTGTTTTTTCTGATGAAAATCAGAAGAGTAATTTAGATGTATTATCAATAGCATGAAATACCCAGCTTTGCCCTTTCTGCCTGAGGTCCCACCCCTTCCATGGGACCCAGAGCCAGCCAGTGACCATGTACCAAAGTTCATTAAGTGGCCCCTGGTGAAAATTATTTCCCACCTCAGCAGTAGCTTGTTTTCGGCAATAAAAATCCCCTCCAGAGTTTGCAGTCCAAACACTACAGCATCTTGTAAATGTATAAGAACAAGTTAAAGAGTTTAGAAATCGAAAGCTGTAGCTTCATTGTCCCAAAATAAAGGGATGAGGTGAAAGTAAACAGAGAACATAAATGGTAAAATGTAAATTTTAATGGTTTTTTTTAAACTTGCACTTTTAACAATCTTGGCTCTATTAAAACATCAGATTTCCTAATACCTGTATCAACATATAATTTCAGCATGATAGTGTCTCTTTAAACCAGGCTACAGAAAAGCACTTAAATTAAAGAATGAAATCACACACCAGAAATATTTTGAAAACCTGTAAATAGAGACGACTGGGAAATGACTGTGCAAGGCGATTTCCCACTGTGGCGAGGGGGAGGTGTAGATCAGAAGCATAAGAGAGTGATTGCCTTTGGGACTGGACCTTAGATGTGACCACATCCCTTCTTCTACTAGCTGCTGCCTAGGGAGGAGGAGAGTCTAAAAGCACTTGTCAGCAGTGGCTAAGAAAGCAGAGCCCCATCTTGATGTGATATTCTAGAAGAGGAGATTGATCTTTCTCTACAGGACTAAAGAAAATCCTGCTGAGTCATCAGCTCTTGTCTGAATGAGGGAGAGAAGATAGTGCTTGTTCATCATGACCAAAGAAGGTAAATTATTCACATTCTGTTGCTTTCTCACATAGAGGGGAAGTCTGCAGCAGATTAAAGTGCAGCTTAGATTTGCTAATGAACCAGTGTCAGATGTGTTTGGCAAATGGCAGTAGAGGAGGGAAGGAATCTTAATGGCTTTGGGTATTAACCATGATCATGTCCCTTTTTGCTCACTTCTTCATGGATGCTGGTGGAAATTGGCTGTTCGGTACTTCCTCAGTGCAAGTGTGGAGCTCAGTGAAAGATGTTTTCAGAGTTTCATTTCTGTATTTTTTTTTCCCCACTATTTGTTTGCAGGAGGAGTTGGTCCACTCTAGCAATGGTGACTGTTTTTGTCCTCACACAAACAAGGGTCTTCACTATTCAAACTAGAATAGTGCATGGCTGTAAATGTTGTCATCCAGCCAGAGACCAGATATGATACTGTGTGGCTTAGGTGGCCAATTGCATGTGTCAAATCATGACTAGTGGAGAGACTAAGACAGCCACAGTGGATCAGTTTTGAACAACCTATATATTAACATAAAGGATTAGTCAAACAATTATGAAGACAGAATGATTTCTTTAAAAAAATTCCATGTCTGTCTGCAGAGAAGTCATTAACACCAAAAGGGGCTAAAATTGTCAATTAATACTCCAGTCTGCCCAGCGCTGGTCTGAGGGATGTGCCAATGTATGAGTCAATTCCTATGAGAACTGTGAGCCTCAGTAAATCCCAGTGGCTAAGCTCAGTGATTGACCTTCAAGCTTGCATGACGTGCTGTGGGCTCCTAATAGCAATGTACTCCAAATGGCAGCTGATTCCCAGACAGCCACTGTGTCAGATCTGTCAGTGAATCATAACTTTTCTGCCTCAAGCATTAAGAAGAAAAGAATATTGCCTGGCTAATGGCTTGAAATTCTGGGGGAGTGGGAGATGGAGGTTTTGGGTTGTAACCATCATCGCATCCTAATCTCTTTTTTGTATTTACTCTTTTAAAAAAATATTCACCAATACAATTGTCCCTCTCTTCCCTTTTACCAGCCCTATTAGTCTGGAACTTCACTGTCTGCATTGAGCTGACACCATGATAAAGCAGCAGATTGCCAAAGTCCAAGCAGGATGTTCTCATTGAAATGCCAAGAGCCTGAGGGATTTATGGGTAGCAGCAAATCCGAAGCTGACTTCCCAAGGGATTAATAGAAAATAACTTCAGCCTCTTTCCCCCCTATACCTATTGGGATCTGTGGGTGGGATAGTGTCACAGGGCTGTCTGCTGTCTTCATACCATGTCTTCTGGGACAATCCAAGGTTTATTGCAATCTGGTCTTTCTCAGAGAAGCCCTGAGATCTGACCAGAGATTGCCAAGACTGCAATCATCCCTGATGGAATATCACAAAGGCAGAAATCCAGGGCCTTCAACTCCATGGGATCTGCTCCAGTTGCTTAGGGGAAGTGGAGTCAAAAATATAACTCCAAGACCTGCTCCTCTACCCTCTTTCTGATTGGGTTACAAATAGGTGCGGGCAGGCAACGTGTGAATGTGATAAAGAATTGCAGGAAAAGTCACTTTCTTCTAACAATGAGTGAGGAACTACATGGGAAATAAAAACAACACTGTCTTTGAAGTTATTCTGTCTCGCACTGTGCTTAGAACCTTGCCTAGCCCTTTCCTGCCTTGCTTCCTGCTACAGTTTCAAAGAAACAGTACATGTATCCTCACAGTAGGGGAGAGATGAAGCCAAGGAAAGCTGCCAACTGCATAAAGCCCAGATCCTCAAAGGTATTTAAACCCTCAGCTTCTAATGACTTCCATGGCTTTTAGGAGCCTAAATATTTTTGAGAATGTGGACCTAAATTTCTATGGCTACTCTTACAGCACAGAGAAGAGTAACTCTTTCAAAAACATGTCATATCTGTATTTCTCCTCCTGGTGAAGCTGGAGCATCCTATGGCATGCTATCTAGCTGCACACCAGTCAGTAGGGGATAATAGGCTAAGGCCACGGGTTGACTGGTAGATGTAGGGGTTGGGGTTGAAGCACCAGCAGAGGTGAACAAGAAATTTTGGAGGCCAGACATGGAGGTGAAGGGAAAATCACACTATATCCTTAAAGTACAGCTTCACCTGATATAGGGAACCTATTGTGGGACTGGGAGGGAATCAATTCAGTCTTAATAATGAATCCTGTGGCACATTACAGATTAACCTATTTATTTGGGCATAAGCTTTGGTGGGCAAAGTCCCACTTCGTCAAATGAATTCAGCCTTAGTGTTTGTGAGCAAATGCTAATGTAAGAAATGATCACAAGGGGGATGGCTATGAGGCTCCTCTTTCTCAAAACATTCCTCTGAGAGTGTGTGCTTAGATAAAAGAGGTCTTGTGTCAAACTCTTGCTTAGCAAACTGCCACAATAACTTTTTTTCTTGAAGTACACTTCATAAAAAGACCATTCCATTATCTGAATATCATCCCATCTGAAGAAGTGGGTTTTGCCCATGAACACTCATGGTATAATACATATAGGCTACGTCTAGACTGGCATGATTTTCCGGAAATGCTTTTAATGGAAAAGTTTTCTGTTAAAAGAATTTTCGGAACAGAGCGTCTAGATTGGAACGGACGCTTTTCCGCAAAAAAACCTCGATCACCATTTTCGCGTTCAGGGCTTTTTTGTGGAAAACAAATCTGGGCTGTCTACACTGGCCCTTTTGCGCAAAAGTTTTGTGCAAAAGGACTTTTGCCCGAACAGGAGCAGCATAGTATTTCCGCAAGAACACTGGCAATCTTACATGAGATCGTCAGTGCTTTTGCGGAAATTCAAGCGGCCAGTGTAGACAGCTGGCAAGTTTTTCCGGAAAATTGGCTGATTTTCCGGAAAAACTGGCCAGACTAGACACAGCCATATTGTTAGCCTCTAAAATGCCATTGGACTATTTGCTGTTTATTTAAAAGTTGTTCTTCATTACCAGGGGATGGCAACATTTTTAGGATCTTCAATTGTGGGAGAGAAATATGCATGTTTTCACACAAACATCTTCTTCCAACTCAGTTTTCACAGAGCTTTTTCCAGATTCAGTACTTAGACACATTGCAGCCATCCTCTTTGAGTAACTCTTAAATGGCAACCTTGATCCAGATGATGCACACCTCAGGCTCTAGAATAGTTTCTTAAGCATCAGTGAAATATGCATTCCCATCAAAGTATATAGTAAATTCACCATTGTAGGGATTAGTCATGCTCATGCCTGGTCTCTACACTACAGTGGAAAGTCGAAATAAGATACATCGACTCCATCTACGTAATTAACATGGCTGGAGTAGTGTAACTTAAATTGCATTTCCACACCATCCACACAGCGAGAGGCCAATGGGAACAAATGCTCCCATCAGCTTCCCTTAGTTCTTGCAAAAGGAGGTGTACCAGATGTCAGCTGGAGCTGCCCTAAGCATTTGATGTACAGGTCCATACTTGATCTGCTAAATCGAATGCCAGAAGATTGACATCTGGAGCAACTGTCTTTTGCATAGTGTAGACGTGCCCTCACAGAGCAAGTAGTACAGAAAAAGCTTTCATACAAACCCAGAGTCACGTTTGCCAATCTTGATGTCCTACCAGATTGTCAGTTAATCACTGTAGGGGCCAAGTATTTCAGAAAACTACTGCTGGCAGATAAATCCATTATGCATGTTGATGGGAGAGACCTCAGTGTCTTGTAAAACTGTTGAATTCAAGTGTACTGATATTGTGTGTGGCGTGGGAACTTTTTGAAAAGGCAAAATTGTTTCCCTAGGGAAAAAGGGAAAAAGGCAAAAAAAATCTTTTTGATACCTTAGTCTGTGTGTCTGTCTGTCTATGTGAACATAACATGGAGGCACTGCTTACTGCTCCAGAGTTAGGGTTGAGCCAAGTTTTATACTGAAACAAATTGAATATACTTACTCTACATATGAAGAAAACATTTTCCCCGAAACTTCAACATTTATTTTATGAGCACTTACAAGTAAATCCATTATTTGATTTTAAATTAAATATTAAACAGGTTCTTTAAGACACTTAGCTTTTAGAATCAGACCTGTTGTTCTGTTCCAAACAATCTTGGCTAGGCATTATATAGCTACATAAAAAATAAACAGGGGTGAATTTAAAGACTTCTTTGTGATTAATGATCAGTTTTTCTCAGTACTCTTCATAACTGAAGCTTCTCCTTCAGTGGAGGATCAAGAATATTGTTCTCCATTAGAGAAACTTGCTAAAACCTGCACATTTGCAAAATAGCAACCAGCTGCTATTGTTTTTAATGGGACTGAGATGACTGCCTTCCTTTATTAAAGGTAGCCAATGCCTCCTTTCACGCGCTTCTCACATTTCTTCTCTCTGAATCCTGAAAGCAAATGGACCACTGTATTCCAGCAGAGCTGCTATCTCTACTCCTTTTGGGAGCAATGAGAGTGACCATCTTAACTGAGGAGCCCTATGAAGAATAATGGAAGAAATAGCCATTAAACTAGTTTAAGCAGAATTTGAAGGAATGCTTCCCTTACAGCTAGCTGGAGAGAGAAACTCTGGGTGTGTCTATGTAAATACAGCTTTTCCCTGCTTTGTGTAGATATTAAATATTAGATATATTGTGTTAGATATTCAGCAGATAGTATTTTTCTCATTGTAATTGAGACAGCTATGTTTGTATTAAGTGCAAGGATACCTAAAATATGGCTACCAATGTTTGTAATGTTGTGGGAATACATACATTTAGGACTGTGCCATGTTGTTCCAAATGAAAAGGGCTCAGTTAGCATAAAGAATCTTTCAAATGCAGGGGCTCTACTTTTCACATCTCTGGAGGAATGCTTCAGAGCTCTATGAAGGTGAGGGAAGGTTATTGTGGTCTAGAAGCTATATGGCTTACTCTGCTTGGACTAGTTTGACCTGCTCTTCCCTCCTCTCTCCCCCTCCCCCACACTGTTCAATGAACTGTGCTAAATAGGCATAATGAGGTGCCTCTCTTATGTTAATTGTGTTGGAGTGTGTTTTTCCTACCCTGCTTGCTAAGCATTGAAATCACTGGGAGCTAAAATTATTTGAGACATGGGCAGAAGTATGGGTGGCCAGTGAAGAGAGCACTGTGGGGGGCAAGCCCCCAGCCCTGCCCCTTCTGTTGCCATTCTGCCCCCCAAAGGAACCCAACCGCCTCCCTGCTCCCCCACCAAAATAGGGAGGGGAAAGGAAGGGAGAAGGGCACATGCAGCCTCAGCCTCCCCAGCGTTAGACCAGAACTGAATCCTGCTTATTGGGACCCAGGTTCTACAACTGCACCATATCCATATCACCATGCAATAATCAAGTCAAACAGAAATGGCTGAAACAACAACTGGTTTATTTAACGGAACACCTAACTTAAAAAGCAAACTTAAAACCCGGTGGTCACAATGAAGCCTGGCCTAGGCCAGAACCCCA